GATTGAAATGTGGTGTACTTTACCACTATACTGCATTCCCAGACTTTCTAAAATATTTTGACAGGGTCTGGCTAAGTTATTTACAGCCTTGCTAAACTGCTACGACTGGCCTTGAATTTAAGGTCCTTCTGCCTCAATTTCTGAAGCTGCTAGGATTACACCGATGTGCCACCATGCCCAGCTTGAAATTATCTTTAAGCACAGACTCTATTAAAGTAATTTGCTGCTGGAATTGCATAACATCTTGATGTCTGCTCTATTTTCAACTTTGGCATTCAAGACAAAGTACAATAGTCTAGATCCAATAAGACTTTTCTATAGTAGTCTAAAATTGACCAATAGTTTTTTTTTTTTTTTTTCAAAAAAAAAAAAAAAAAAAAAAAAAGACTATAAACACATACACACCAAGACAAATTTAAAAACAATCCCAGATTTTTCCTGATAGAGGTATCCTGATAGGTCCTCACTCACTGTATCTAGACCATTTCTGCTAACAACATATATGATTTATACTAAACACCTACTTTCCTTCTGGAAGGTGCCAGGGATAGAGGGTCTATGTGACCAGGTCCCAATAAAGCCTTGAGTAGACTCTCTAATAGCCTTCCCTTGGCAGGAGCACTGTATACATGCTGCTGTATACTCCCTTTTGGAAAGAGAATGCATTCTGTATGACTATTCAAGAGAGGGAGAGAGCACAAAGGAAGATGAAACATGGATTTATCCAGACTCTGCCATGTCACTCTCCTTTTTGATCGGGCTATGTATTCTTATTATATACCTGTAATAAATCATCACTCTAGATGGGCATGGTGGTGCATGCCTGTAATTCCAGTGGCTCAGGAGGTTAAGGCAGGAGGATCACAAGATCAAGGCCAGCCTCAGCAACTGAGAGAGGCCCTAAGCAGCTTAGCAAGACCCTGTCTCTATGTCATTAATGATGGAAGTCATTTATTGCATTTGTTTTTCATAAAGTTGTTTCTTGAATATTACACTTAGAAATCTTCTTAGGAAACTCCACCAGACAACTTCTAGAATTAATTAATGAATTCAGCAAAATAACAGGATATAAAATCAATACCCATAAGTCAAATGCATTTCTATACATCAGTGATGAATCCTCTAAAAAAGAAATTAGGAAAAATTGGGAACGAACTTAACAAAAGAGATGAAGGAAGACCTCTACAATGAAAACTACAGGATGCTAAAGAAAGAAATTGAAGAAGACCTTAGGAGATGGAAAGATCTCACATGCTCTTTGATAGGCAAAATTAATATTGTCAAAATGCGCATACTACCCAAAGCGCCAAACAGATTCATCATTCCTTATAGAAATAGAAAAAGCAATCATGAAATTCATTTGGAAAAATAAGAGACCCAAAATAGACAAAGCAATCCTTAGCAAGAACAATGAAGCAAGAGGCATCAGAATACTAGACATTAAACTATACTACAAAGCTTATAGTAACAAAACAGCATGATATTGGCACCAAAACAGACATGTAGACCAATGAATGATACAGAATAGAAGACACAGTGACAAACCCACAGAAATACAGTTATCTCATACTAGACAAAGGTGCCATAAACATACATTGGAGAAAAGATAGCCTCTTCAACAAATTATGCTGGGAGAATTGGAAATCCATACGCAGCAAAATGAAAAAAAAACCCTACCTCTCACCATGCAACAAAACTCAACTCAAAGTCGATTAAGGACCTAGGAATTAGTCCAGAGACCCTGTGCCTAACAGAGGAAAAAGTAAGCCCAAATCTTCATCACATCCGATTAGGCCCCAACTTCCTTAATAAGACTCCTAAAGCATAAGAGTTAAAATAAAAAATTAGCCAGACGCAGTGGTGCACACCTATAATCCCAGCGGCTCAGGAGGCTGAGGCAGGAGGATCATTAGTTCAAAGCCAGCCTCAGCAAAAAGCAAGGCACTAAGCAAGTCAGTGAGATCCTGTCTCTAAATAAAATTCAAAAAAGGGCTGGGGATGTGGCTGAGTGCTCCTGAGTTCAATCCCTGGTACAAAAAAAAAAAAAAAAAGAATTAATAAATGGGATGGACTCAAACTAAAAATCTTCTTCTCAGCAAAAGAAACTATCAATGAGGTGAATAGAAAGCCTACATTTTGGGAACATATTTTTGCTACATGCATATCAGATAGAGCATTAATCTCCAGGATATACAAAGAACTCAAACTTACCACCAAAAAAGAAAAAAAAAATCCAATCAATAAATGGGCTAATGAGCTGAACAGACACTTCTCAGAAGAAGATATACATTCAATCAACAAATATATGAAAAAAAAAAAACGTTCAACATCTCTAATAATTAGAGAAATGTAAATCAAAGCTACTCTAAGATTTCAAATCACTCCAGTCAGAACAGCAGTTATCAAGAATACAGACAACAATTAGTGTTGTCAAGGATGTGGGGGAAAAGGTACACTCATACATTGCTGGTGGGACTGCAAATTGGTGTAACCAATATAGAAAGCAGTATGGAGAGTTCTTAGAAAACTTGGAATGAAACCACCATTTGACCCAGCTCTCCCCCCTCCTCAGTCTATACCCAAAGGACTGAAAATCAGCATACTATAATAATGTGTAGCCACATCAATGTTCATAGCAGCTCAATTCACAATAGCTAAACTGTAGAGCCAACCTAGATGCCCTTCAATAGATGAATGGATAAAGAAACTGGTATATATACACAATGGAATATTACCCAGCATTAAAAGAGAGTAAGATTATGGTATTTGCAGGTGAATGGATGGAATTGGAGAATATCATGCTAAGTGAAGTAAGCTAATCCCAAAAAACCAAAGGCTGAAATGTTCTGATAATTGAATGCAGATTCATAAAGGATGGGGGGTGGGGGAGATGAAGGAACTTTGGAAAAAGGGAGGGAGAGGTAGGGAGCATACATGGGGGCAGGAAAAATGGTGGAATGAGATGGACATCATTACCCTAGGTTCATGTATGCATATATGGTGCAATGCTACATCATGTACAACCAGAGACATGAAAAGTTGTGCTTCAATTGTGGACAATGAATCAAAATGCATTCTGCTGTCATATATACCTAATTAAAATAAATTAATTAAAAAAAAGAAATCTATTAAGGAGTCAGTTCTTAAAACTTTTAGTCTCAGAATCCCTATAATTTATGTGAATTACATCTATTGATATTCACACCAATTTAGAAATTAAAACTGAGGTTTTAGAGCCAGGCATGGTGGTGCATACCTGTAATCCCAGTAGCTTGGGAGGCTGAGGCAGGAGATTTTTGAGTTCAAGCCCTGTCTCAAAATATAAAAACTGGCTGAGGATGTGGCTCAGTGATTAAGTGCCCCAGGTTCAATAACTGGTACAAAAAAAAAAAAAAAAAGTTTTGACCTATTTCAAAATAATCCATTACATATTTTATAACATTTTAAAAATAAAAAATTTTCTGAGAGAAATGTGCTGAGTGTTCTGTTTCACGGTTTTATAAATCTCTTAAATATCCAGCATAACAGAAGACAACTAATTTCTACTATCTGCTTCTATATACTTTATCTTTTGCAATATTTCATGCCATATAGCCCCTAGCAAATTCCACTGCAAACTCATTCCCCATTGCCCACCTTCCACCCCATCCCTGAATCCAGGGCAATTTACCACTGAGCCACATGCTCAATCCTTTTTATTTTTATTTTATTGTTATTTTTTGGAGACAGGGTCCACAAAGTTGCTGAGGCTGACCTCAAAATGGAAATCATTCTGTCTCAAACTCCTGATCCTCTGTGATTACATGTGTGTGACACAATGCCTGGTTTTACTTTCAATCTTAAGTCTTACTAAGTTGCCAGGCTAGGCTCCAACTTTTGATCCTCCCAAGTAATTGGGCTATATTATAGGCACATGCCACTGAGCCTGGCTCACTGCAAACTTTTGTTTCTTTAGTATCAGAAATTGAATCAGGCGTGCTCAATCACTGAACCACATCCTCAGCCCTTTTATATTTTATGTTGAGACTCGCAGTTGCTTAGGGCCTCACTAAGTTGCTGAGGATGGCTTTGAACTTGCAGTCCTCTTGCCTCAACCTCCTGAGCTGCTGGGACTATAGGCATGTGCCACTTTGCCAGGCTCACCACACATTCTTAAAAGAACAACAACAAAAAGGCAAATAAATAACTTAATATGGCTATGAAAATAATTCTGACCTTTTGGACCACCAGAAAGGATTCTGAATTATACTCTGAGAAATGTGACATGAAGGTAAATAATGTGACTGTCAGGTAAATAATGGTAACAGAATAATGTGTTAAAATAGAAGTGCAGAGCCAGGCATCAGCGCCAGACCTTCATTTTCTTTTTATCACATATATACTAATATGCAGGAAGGAGCACAGAACACTTTTCTTGAGATAAATTCTGAAGTATCTATCTGATATATACTGAAAACTGGTAGCATTTCCCTTATAAACTCAGAGAGTCAAACCTCATCCAGCTAGTGATTTCAGAAAAGCAGTATTTTACAATACAGGCTCACCATGTTCAGTGTAGAAAGAAAAATATGTGTACCTTAAAAATCCTAAAGAAACTGTATGCATGATGAGCTGAACAATGTAATCCTTTGATACTATTTATTTAAATGATGAAACTTACAATTTTACAAACCATTATTCTAAAAATTAAACTTGATACTTCTCTACTCTCTTTGGTTTGGAAACAATGCACTAGGGACTGAATATATTAAATCACAAAAAAACCTTGTATTAACCTCAGCAGGTCTTCTGAAACCAGTTTTAAGCCAAATCCTAAGCTTATTAGAATTAAATCAACACTTTAACCAACAAGGTAAGCATTACTGACTTTGTTACTTTTATAAACCTTACCATCATGAAGCTATAATTCAACAGCTTTATATAAATTATAAAAATCTACAACTTCTCTGCTGGCTATGGATGTGACCCACACACTCAGGGCACAGAGATGCTATACTTACCACCAGTGCTAGAACGAGAGTCCGAACTTTCTCCCCAATCTCAGGCGAGATATCATTGCCAAACTGTTGCAGAGTGGTGAGAAAGCGTTTCAACTTGCTGAGTTGCCGAGCTCCACAAGTGGCTGGTAACTGCTGATTTGTTAGCGCAGATGAAGTGGAAGAGGCAGGACCATTGCTGAATCTCTGTGGTGGTGATGGAGCGCCATTCAGGGTAGGAGGAGAATGGTTGATACCATTGCTTACTAAAAGGAAGCCAAAATTGAAAGACTCAATTTACAGACCACGAAGGCCTTTGTTAATTTCTTCTGGTTGTGTTCTCTTTCATTTATTCATTCAAATTTTGTAAAGTACATTTTAAAAGAATATGCAAAGCTGTTTCTGTCCTCAATAATACTTTTATGTATAATGAAACAGACTGTCAGGTAAATAATGGTAACAGAATAATGTGTTAAAACAGAAGTGCAGAGCCAGGCATCAGCGCCAGACTTTTTTTTTTTTTTGGAGGAGCTATGTTCTTGGTGGCATGACATTAAAAAACTCTGTCACTGAACAGTGAGATAAAAATCACCTAGTCCCAAGTTTCAAATAGATTTTACTTAATCATAAAATCTAAGGTGAGCTTGGCTTGGTGGCACAAGCCTGTAATCCCAGTGGCTCAGGAAGCTGAGGCATGAAGATCGCAAGTTCAAAACCAGCCTCAGCACTTTAGCGAGGCCTTGTCTCTAAATAAAAAAATAGAAAGGGCTGGGAATGTGACTCAGTGGTTAAGCATCCCTGGTTCAATCTTTGGTACCAAAAAAAAAAAAAAAAAAGAAAGAAAGAAAAGAAAAAGATATCTAAGATGAAAGTATCTAAAAACGTAGGAAACAATTTAAGCCAAGATTTGAGAAAAGTTGAAAAGCCTAATCATGCAGTCGCAGTGGCATATGCCTATAATATCAGTGACTTAGCAAGATTCTGTCTCAAAATAGAAACAAAAAGGGCTCAGGATGTAGTTCAGTGCCCCTGGGTTAGATCTCTAGTACCTCCCCACAAAAAAAAAAAAAAAAAAAAAAGCCTAAGCATTTAATCTTTACCTAGCTTAGAAAACTGATATTTACCTGTATTATGTCCACAAAAACTCATCAATCACAACCATTTTCCTACTTCACTTTTCTTTCCTCTAAGTTAGTCAAAGTCACCTGACCATCTCTGTTTTCTCTTCCTGGACCAATCCATATTCAAATTTGACCTCTATAGTTTAGGTATCACCTGTATTAAGAAGCTTTCTTTGAAAAACACATTGCTGCTCCACTTTAAGTTTAAATGTTGGCAGATTTAATAAATATTCTTTGTTGCCTGTGTACATACTTCCACTATTTTACTTTCTAAACTATACTTCTTTCCTTCTTTCATTTTTGGTGGTACTGAGGATTGAACCCAGGCATACTTTAGCACTGACCTATATTCCCAGCGCCTTTTGATCTTTTGAGACAAGCTTTCACTAAGTTGCTCAGGCTCATCTCAAACTTATAATCCTCCTGCCTCAGCTTCCTGAGCAGCCGGGGTTGCAGTCATACACCATGCACATCTACTTATTTTTTTCTATATTTGCATTGCCAATAGATTACACATTTTCTCTCTCTCTCTCTACCAGGGATTGAACCCAGGGGTGCTGAACCACTGAGTCAACTCCAGCTTTTTCTTTTCTTTTCTTTTTTTAAAACACATGGTCTCCCTAAGTTATTGAAGCTGATTTTTGATACTTCTCAGATGCCTAAATGCTGTGATCACATGTGTGCACCACCACATCTTGATGAGAAATAAGGTACCTTACACATTAGTGCATTCTCTTAAGCTTTTGTAAACCGTATATACCATGTGTACTTTTAATTTTTATTCATTAGTTAACCAAGGTAAGTTTTCAAGAAAATAGTGCTAAATGCTACACTGCATAAAAGACTAGCTAAAGCAGAGGAAAAATGGGTGAATTCTCTCCTATTTTCTTATAAGAGATTACTAAAGCCACTGGAAAGGAAAGCTAAACATTCAACCTCAACAACACAAAAAATTAGTTATAATGGTCTGTCATTTCTCCGTTTTCACAGAAAGGTCAATTCTCCGCATAGAGCTGCCCTCTTGAAACAATGTAATAAGATATTACTGTGTTTTTAGCCACCATGACATGCAGATAGGCTTTTTTACAGTCTTCTTAATAAAACCTTATGCTTACATTTTCCAAAATAAAATATATCCGCCTCCATGCAGCCAAATGTGGAGGTAAAAAAGACTAACATTTTATTTATTTATTACTACGGGATATTTCAGTACATGTATACATCAGGACTAGATTTACATATACCTATTGTGTGTGTGTGTGTGTTAAAATTTGAACAATAAGCAGGGTTTTTTGTTGTTGTTGTCGATGCTGTTTTGTTGGTACCAGGGATTGAATCCAGGGGTGCTGAATCACTGAACCACATCCCTAGCCCTTTTCATTTTTAATTTTAAGACAGAGTCTTGCTAAGTTGCTGAGGCTGGCTTTGAATTTGCAGCCTCTTGCCTCAGCCTCCTGGGCTGCTGGCACTACAGGTGTGCACACTGGCACTCGGCTATACATCTTACACTCTCTTGCCTTTTATTTTTTTCTTTTTAAAAAATATTTATTTTTTAGTTGTAGCTGTCAATACCTTTATTTATTTATTTTTATGTGGTGCTGAGGATCGAACCCAGGGCCTCACATGCACTAGGTGAGTGCTCTATGGCTGAGCCACAACTTAGCCCCTCTCTTGCCATTTTTTCCTCCACAATTGCTATATTAGGAATCATACCAGGGCCTCAAAAATGCTAGGCATGTGGTCTATCACTGCACTGCATTCCCAGCCCTCTCTTGTGTTTTAAAATGATAAACATAAAAACACAAATTTGAGCAAGTATAATATATAAGTTGTACAATCCATTTAAATAAAACAATATACCCAGCATCTACCACAATGCTCTGACATGTTTTCGGCACTCCACAAAGAGCAAGTGTGTTCTGGTTTATGAGACAAAATACGTATAAGAGGGTCAACATAAACTAGGGATGGCAGCATTTGCATGAAAAGTAGAATTAAATCAAGACATATATGTATGTATCTAAGCCTAGATTTTAAACTGAGGCTTGTTTAAATATATATATATGAGTGAAATTGCTGACATATAAAATGTGTAGAAATTCAGCTTTGGAACATACTGCCAAACAATTTGCACAAGTGACTGTACCCAATTATACTTCAACTAGCAAGTCACAAGTGTTCAGATTGCTCATAAATTCACAGCAAAACTTGACATTCTTTTATACTTTGAACATAGTAGTTGTGCAAAGGTATTATACTAGTTTATAATTTTCCTTGCTAGTGAAGTTGAATCCTTTGTTATATATTTATAGGCTCATGTAAATGTCATGGACTGAATTGTGTCTGCTTGAAAATTCACATGCTGAAGTCCAAACCCTTCAAACCTCAGAATGTAAATGTATTTGGAGACAAGGACTTGAAGGAATACACAATGGTTAAATTAGATCAAATTAGTGTTCTTATACACAGAAGAAGAGATAGCAGCTATGCCTATGAATAGTGGAAAGGCCATGTAAGGACCAGCAAGAAGGTGAGCATCCATAAGCCCAAGGAGAAAGGCTTCAGGACAGACCACACCTGCCAACACCTTGACCTTTGACTTCTAATCTGCTGAACTTTTAGAAATAAATAAGTCAACCAATGATATGATATTTTGCTTTAGCAGCCCTACAAAACTAAGACCATAACATTTTCTTTCATAAAGGGATTTAACAATGATAGTCCTGGAACAGTTTTAGAAGTAGTTCAATAATTTTATAAAATTTATTTTGAATCTTATAAATCAATATAATTTAAATTCATTTTTTGAGTAAAAGAAATAAAATATTTACTTAACAACTAAAGAGTATGAAAACAATATGCTCTACTTTTTTTTTTTTTTACTTTTAGATGGACACAATATCTTTATTTTTATGTAGTGCTGAGGATCGAACCCAGTGCCTCACGAATGCCAGGCAAGTGCACTACCACTTGAGCCACATCCCGAGCCCTCCATTTTTTTTTTTTTAAACCTAAGATTATTATAGTTCTCAGAGAGAATAAGAAACTTATGAAAGTTGGAAACAACCATATCTATTTGTTACCATATTTTAATAGCATTTTGCCTTTTTTTTTTTTTGATACAAGGAATTAAACCCAGGATCACTTAACCACTGAGCAGTATCCCCAGCCTTTTTTTTTTTTTTAATGTTTTATTTTGAGACAGGGTCTTGCTGAGTTGCCTAGGGCCTCACTAGGTTGCTGAGGCTGACTCTGAACTGGCAATCCTCTTGCCTCAGTCTCCCAAGCTGCTAGGATTATACGAGTGCACCACTATATCTGGCTTACTAGTACTTTGAAAATGTTGAATAGTATATGTGTAATGAAAGTCACTTACTTAGTCACTTAGGTACAAATGTCACTCTGAACCACAAACCCAAGTAATTAAGAGTTCTCACATGCTGTAGGAGTAAAGGACACTGGCCTTGGTCCTCCAGGATTTATTGGTGGGAGGGGTGGCATGATGGGAGGTGAGGATCTTGACTGTATCTTCACTTCCACAGGCGATCCAGGCATTGCTGGCACCCTTTTCTCAGAACCAACTGGAGAGAATAAAATAAATGGAGGTCAGAGTTCCTATAAGGCATTAAAACAGCAAATTAATTTGAAATTCCAACTTGTTTTCCTAGAAGACTGAAAAGTAGAGGTTTAGTACATGGGTGAAATGTTTGCTTCCAAAAAAGATTATGTCTATTCCTAACATCATTTAAAAAAAATATTTTTTAGTTGTTGATGTGCCCTTTATTATCTATCTATCTATCTATGGTGCTAAGGATCAAACCTGGTGCCTCACACACTCTAGGCAAGAGCTCTGCCACTGAGCCACAACCCTAGCCCCCATTTCCTAACATCTTGATGTGTGAATGCTACCTATTGGGGAGAAGTGTCTTTGAAGATGTAATTAGGGTAAGGGACTGCAGAGATCATCTTGAGTAATTAAGTGGGCTATGAATCCAATATGAAGGTGTCTTTAAAAAAGAAAAGACAGGTCTGTGGGTGCCACTTTGTAGTACAGCACATGCCTGGCATGGGTAAGTTCCTAGTTTGATCCTCAGTGCCACAACAGATAAATGGATAAATGGACAGACAGGTACATAGGTAGGTAGATAGAAGACACACAAACAGAGGGAAGTATATATGAAAATCATCACATAGAAGATCGTGTGGCAATAAAGGCACAGACTCAAGGATTCATCTACAAACTAAGGACTGCAGAGAATATTGGCAAACACCAGAAACTGGGAGCCAGGCACGGAACTGATATCTCCCTCTAAGGACTCAAGGAAGAATCAGCCCTGCGCGCGCATGAGATCTCGGTCTTTCTCTCTCCCTCCCTCCCTACACACATACACACACACCTTGATTTTGATTTTGGACTTCTCACTCCTAAAGTGTAAGAGAATAAATTTCTAACATCTTAAGGCAACCAGTTTGTGGTACTTTGTTTTGTCAACATTACAAACTAAAACAAGGGAACAAGGACAAGAGGTGATAGGAACTGAAAGTTAACAGTTTACAGAGTGTCTGAGAAAGGGAGAAACCAGATTCCAAACTTGGGTACCTCAATTGTATTCTTTCTAGACTACTCCTTATAAACAAATCAATTAAGTAAAGTGGAAACAGCTAAACTATAAACAGCTAAAAGGCCTCAACTGCATGACATGGAAACAGAATCAATATCAGTTGTATATAAATTTCTGCTGGTGATGAAATACTAAATTTTTATATAGTCAACTATACTAATAAAGGAAAAGAAGGTGGAGTCAATGTCACTTATGATATAAGCTATACAAAAAAAATTAAAAGTACAACTGATTCTAAACTAAGATGAACAATTTCATCCCTGTAGGTAACTGACAACAAGCAGCTGTTTGATAACAATGAACAACAAAGAAACTCCAGAAAGAGAAATTAGATAAACTTACTGACATTGAAAAGAGTTTTCAGGTGCCAGACATAGTGACTCATTCCTACAATTTCAGTTACTCAGAAGGTTGAGGCAGGAGAATGGCAACTTTGAGACCAGCCTTAACAACTAAGCAAGGGGCTGGGGATGTGGCTCAAGCGGTAGCACGCTCGCCTGGCATGTGTGCGGCCCAGGTTCGATCCTCAGCACCACATACAAAGATGTTGTGTCCACCGAAAACTAAAAAATAAATATATATATATATAAAAAAACTCTCTCAAAAAAAAAAAACCAAAACCCAACAAACAACAACTAAGCAAGGCTCTCCGTAACTTGTTTATTTATTTTTAGTACCCGGAACTGGAGACCACTGAGCCACACCCTATCCCTATCTTATATTTTATTTACAGACAGGGTCTTGCTAAGTTGCTTAGCGCCTTGCTTTTGTTGTTTGTTTTGTTCTGCCTCAGCCTCCCATGCTGCTAGGGATACAGGCGTGTGCCCATGTGCCCAGCTTCAGTAACTTATTTTTATTTCAATATAGGATTTTGCTAAGTTGTCCCACCTGGCCTCAAACTTGCAATCTCCTGCCTCAGCCTCCTGATTCACTGTGATTATAGGCCCAATTATTACCTTTAATGCTTCAGTTTGTAGTGACCGCATTTTAGGAAAGGATATAATGAATAAAGAAAGTCAAAGGAGCCAAGCTCCCAAGTTACAAATCCCTGTCAAAAAGGTGTAGTATTGGGGCTGGGGTTGTGGCTCAGCGGTAGAGCGCTAGCCTAGCGTGTGAGGCCCTGGGTTCGATCCTCAGCACCACATAACAATAAATAAAATAAAGATATTGTGTCCAACTACAACTAAAAAAAATTTTCTTTTAAAATGTATAGTATTCTGAAAGCCCTTGTCATCCCTCTGCTCAGGACATTTTCCCTGTGAAATTGATGGACATCCTGTCTGATTAGTGGACTAATGAGCTGTTGCGCTTGCCTTTTTCTCCCTGTTTTCTCAATGCCCTTCAAAGAACACTTGACACATTTCCAGCTCTTCCATCTGGGGCCCAGCTTTCTGTAGGGGGTGGAGAAGGGAAGGAAGGAACTGACAGTTGTCTCGCACTGTTATGTGTATTATGTACCGTGTGCAACAACCTGGAGGGAGTCTTTCTTCAGACCACCTGCCTTTACAGCGAGGGCGCCAAAGGCCCGAGGAGGGCGTAACAGTGAGATGTGTTTTAACATTCAGCATTTGGCAGGATAAAAAAGGTGGAATAGACCAACTGCACTGACATGATACTCTTACCAACTGAAAGTTTAGACAGTGAACAAAGCTCAGCCTTGAAAATACTGTTTACACGTCCTACGCCTCTCTTACTAACTTCATTACCCACAAACCTGCAACCTCAGTGTCCTTCCTCATGTTTCAAGCAACACTACAGCAGGAAAATCACAGGTAAGGATATATGTTTGGTGTGAAAACTTTTCTGTTACATGGATTTTAGCAAATCATTTTACCTTTCTGGATCTCATTTTTCAACATACGTAAAAGTGAGGGATAATAAGAACAAACTAGGATTAGGAATGTAGCTCAATGGTAGAGCGTTTGCCTAGTATGCATTAAGTCCTGGGTTTGATCCCCAGCACCACAAACAAACAACTTGGCAGCCAGGCATAGTGCTGCATACCTGTAGTTCCAACTACTCAGAATTTTTCTGACTAATAATTTATCTATATATAACCTCAGACATACTATATAGAATGATCCAAGAATTTAAAGTCATAAAAGCACCAAATACAATATACATATTTTTGTTAAGAGTTTGGGTTGCATGAATGCACCTCATGTTTTGTATAACCTGATCAAACTGATCAGCTGCTCAGATGATAGGTAAAGGGTATGTTTCAAAGTACGCATTTTAACTCTGCTTGGGGTCACAGTAGGAGCAGAGGAACTTCCTATAGGAAGACAGATAGCTATGGCATGCCCTTATGTCATCATTGTGAAAGTGACTTCTTGAATTTTTATGAAATCACTGTTTATATATATTTTGGCTGAATCCCTTAAAGAACCAACCACACATATCTTGAGCACTTTTGAATTTCAAAAATTTTAAAGTTCAAAAACCAGAAAATTCTTTCCAATCCCAAGCACAATGGCACATGCTTGTGATCCCAATTACTTAAGAGGCTAAAACCAGGAGGGTTGCAAATTTGAGGCCAGCCTGAACAATTTAGCAAGACCTGTCTCAAAATACCGCCCTCCATATTTTTTTATTGGTGCATTATAGTTATACATGATAATGGGATATGTTACTACATATGTGCATGCACACAATGTATAAAAATAGAATTTGGCCTATATCACTCCCTAGCACTCCCTCCTCCCTTCCTCCCTTTGGTCCCTTTCTTCTATTGATCTCTCTTTGATTTTCATGAGTTCTACCTTCAAAATAAAAACTTTTGAAAAGGGACGTAGTTTAGTGGTAGAGTGCTCCTGGGTTCAATCTCTAAACCATAAAAACAAACAATCACGAAACTATAAAGAATTATTCTATAGGTCCACAAAAGAAAGTACTATTGAATATATTATTGGTAAATACCCTAGACAAGTACTATTTGAGAAGAATCCTCCATGAAAAATTGCCCACAAACAGGGATATTTACAAATAATTATAAAATATATTTCCTTGGAAGTTTTTTAAACTTCTTATGAGGCTGGCAAAGAAACAATAAAGAACAGAGATGTAAATATGAGATCAAAAATAATGCTATAATATGAGGGAAAAGACTACAACCCAAACTGGAAACATAAGAAATTCCAAGATCTAAAGGATGGCACCACATTTACAAAAAAGAAGCTGAGTTTGATGTGTAAAGGATATTTTATAACGATAGTTGGTTTGTTTTCCCATTTGTCTTTGGGGATTACACAACAAAGGCTGGTTCTGAGGGTATCATAATGAATATAACAGAGGCTGGTATGCAGCACACTCATACATGTTTTACTTTAATTAGATTAAAAATTCGTTAGAATTAATCATTTTACTTGGCTTTTGAGATAGTTATCTAAACTAAATTTTGGAAAGAAGATATATATGGTCAAGTATTCCTGCGTATCATCACTGAGAAAAAAAAAAAAAAAAGAGTAAAATGTAGATTTTTCAGAAGTATGCCAGAAATAATGATCATTCCAAACAGGATGGCCAAGGAAGCCATTATATCTGAATCTTTAAAACCTAATCAGTCTGCTAAGAAATAATGGGAGAGCTGGGTAAGGTAAAACACACTTAGGAGGCTAAGACAGAAGGATCTCAAGTTCGAGGCTAGCCTTATCAACTTAAAGTTGAGAATGTCTCACAGTAATTTAAGCGGGGCAGGGCACCTGAGGATATAGCTCAATGGTAGAGAGCCTGTCTAGCATGCATGAGGCCCTGGGTTCCATCCCTAAGAGACAGAGACAGAGAGAGAGGGAGGCGAGGAGGGGGAGACAGACACCCCCAAAAGAAGATATTGAATGGCTAATAAACACATAATAAAATGCTCAACATTAGTTAAAGAATAACAAAATTATAACACACAGGAACTAACTCCTGACACACATACATGGATAGATAAATGTCTAAAGTATTAAGGTAAGTGA